GTGTCCCTGTGAGTCAGCTCACAAGACCCATCACCAATGTGTAAAGTCAGGAAAAACATGAAATTCTCAGCTTTTTTCCTAATGTTGCATTTTAACAATGCTAGTAGATCAAACCAGATGAAATTGCTGGTTAAGATTAAAATATCAGCAATTATCATAGGGGTCAATTTACAATATGCCCTGGACATTTCTGTTCCGTACACTTGGTTATACTGTGTGCTTGGTACCCGAGGGCAAGTTTATTAAAGGGCATGTTTAAAAAGATGTATATGAAATAAAACCATTCAGGGCTGACCTTTGCTTGCATAAAAACTGAGTTTGCATGAAAATGTCCAACCATTTTGTCTCACTAATGCATGGAGGGGACTTTGGGGAGCACCTTTCCTAAGCCTTTATTCCTTCTGATGAAGAGAGTGAGGTCCTGAGAAAATGTATTTGGTCAAGGTCACAGTTAGGAAGTACAGGGCCAAGACCAGCCCTCCCGCCCTGAGTCCCAGTTCCGTTTCTCTCATGGGAAAATCCAATTTCTGTTGCCTGGAAATGTGTCGGGCGGGTGCAGGCTGTGTTTATAGAGAAGCCACCTCCCCGGTGTGGATAACACGGGCCTCAGCAGATCTGCTCTAACCCGAGGGCCGAGACCCGCTTTCGCAGGTCCTGGGCCAGACCCCCGATGCCTGGCTGTGTCTCGTCTCAGGCCCTCTCCTCCCGCTTCCTCCAGCCCTGCGGGTTCCTGAACCCACTCATTCCACCAGCTCCTCTGGGCCTCGGCCTTTGTTTTCCACTGTCGCTGGCCCAGGGACGCCTCGCCAAGCCTCGCTGGTTTCCTTTAGCCCTGCCCTGAGCTCAGTAAACAGCCTGCTCGTTAAACTCTCATGACTCACGGGCCGTGTGTTTCTTGCTGGGATCATGACAAATGCAGCTCGTGTGGATTCCATCAAACGGCAGGAGGTGTCATTCCACAGAATTCGCAGGGAAAAGCACTCGGTTCAGGTCCCCGTCACCCCCACTCCTCACAGGACCGAGCGCTTGACCAACCAAGGACTTCTTGGGGTTCTGAAAATGCTTTTACTGTCTTTCAGACATGACTTCTTTTTATAAAATAAGTCTGTCCATCATCTGGTGGCCTTTTTTTGTTCTCCCACAAGGAATTGATCATTAGCACTCAATTCTCATGTTTACTCTCTTCCGATCTATCACGGGGGACAGGGGGCCCAACACTCAAGAGAAGCACCCTGACATTCAAGGACCAATAAGCCCCTGCAACAGCCCGTATTCCGCGGGGAGGCAGCGAGTGCCTGTAGCAAGGGCGTTTGCTTTGCTTCACGTTTGACTTTCCGCGGTAGCTGTGCCAGGCGAGTAAGGGGGGCGCAGGTGCCCACGCAACACGGTCAGCGGGTGCGGTGGGGAAGGTGCGGATGGTCTCCACTATCTCCACGGCGCGGTCGTCTTCTCTACCCAGCCTGCGGGCGCTGGAGTGCCCGGGCTGGCTGTCGCCTTCGCCCCCTGCCTTCGTTTGCTAAGATGGTCCGTTAGCCCCAGGACCTCAGATACACCGCGCATTTCCAACTGCTTTGATCCCGCCCCAACCCCTCCTCAAACTACGGGCTCCTACCCGACCGCCTACGGATACCAGTGCTCGGGTGGCCGACAGGCATCTTAGGGTTAATGTATCTAGAACTGAGCAGGGAATTTTTCTCCCCAAATCAGCCGCCCACCCTTCCCCACGCGTGTGTAACTCCGTGCGTGCGCGTAAGCACCGTTTAAGCCAAACGTTGGCATCAGCATCAGCCTTAATGGTTCTCTTCTGCGCATCGGTCCACATTCCAGTGACACAGGGCCAGCGTGACTTCAGGATACACCCGGCGTCCTGGTGCTTTTCTCACCCTGTGGCGTCACCCCCGGAGGAGCCACCTTCACTGTCGCCCGCGTTGGGCAATCGCTTCCCGTCTTCTACCCCTTCGGAAAACTCCACCCACGAGCCAGAGCGGTTCTTTGAAAAACCAAGTTTCGTGATGTCACTTCCCGGCTCCACACTCTCCAGTGGTCCTTCCAAAAATAAAAGCTGAAGTCCTTGCCATCACCTGCAAGGACCTCCGTGATCTGATCCCAGATTAGCTCTGCCATCATCTGCCAGCCTTCCTTCCCCTTGTTCACGCCGTTCTAGAAACAGACCCACAGCCGAGACCTGGGAGGGCCGGGCCAAGCGCGCCCACCCGGGGCCTGCACACGCTCCTCCGCCCGCCTGCAGGTCCTCACCCGGCAACCGCGTGGCTCCTAGCCGCCCGCTCTGGGCCTCTGTGAAATATTCCCCAGAGGGGCCTCCCGTGGCTCCCAGGTCTCCGTGAGCACCGTCCTCACTGCCTCCTCCCTCTGCTTTGACTCTCTTGTTTTATCACCTCCCGCGTGCATTACGCCAGGTGTATGCGTTTAGTGTCCGCCTCCTGTTCCTGCCAATACAAAGCAGGCTCTGCCCGAGCAGAAAACTGTCTGCTTTGCCCATCACTTATCTCCAGCACCCGTGCATACAGGTCAGTGCTCAATACATGCACTGAATAAACAGAAACTGTTGAAGAGTTTGGGGAAATGATATACTATCATCAAAAACTGGCCAGGAGCAAAAATGGGAGCAGGGTTGCCAGGCGGGGGCTCTTGCAATCGTCTAGGTGAGATGAGGTTGACTTTGGAGTAAGGAAGAGGGAGTGGAGGTGTTGGGAAGAGACGGATTCAAGTCTTCTGCCCTCCGAAGCTGTGCACCCCAACTTTGTTTGAGCCCCTGTTCTCTATCTGTGCCATTTACAAATCCGATTCTCTAGCCAAATATTTATCCCACGTCTTGATGCAGAAGGCCACGGAAGTAGCCACAGAAGTGACAGACTCTAATGCCTGCATCCTCTGTAGGAGGAAACTGCGCCTCGGGGAGACCAGAAGTTCAACTCGGAGGCTCTTGGCTTGGCAGTGGAAGAAGCCAAGGCTGGAGTCTACTAAGACTTATTTCCAATTCTGGGCTCTATTTGCCCGTTAGCTGTGTTGCAAAATTGTCTTGGAAAAAAAAAAAAAAAAATGTATGTACTTTTAATAACATCTTAAGAACTTTGAAACTGCTAATTGTTTTTAAAATAACTTGCTATGTGATTACAAGTTTAAGTTTGGCTCTTTGCACAATTTTAATTGTATTTTGGGGCTGTGCTGAGAAGTCCCAAGAGAGCTCATCAGATTTTTGTTCGGGTCGTTCTGTTCAATGGCTTCTAACGTGGCACAGCAGCCAAGTACCACCCAGGGTTGTTAACCTAGGATTTATTAGGGTTTAACCTCCACGTGCCTCTGTGCCTCCCCTCCCCCAGATATCTACTCAATGTCACGTCCGAGGCAAGACTTAAACATGGGATTATGTGCGACAGGAAAATGCAAAATGAACTGAAGAGCACAAGTAGACCAGACAGACTGAATAAAGGTAAAGAAAACGTTTGTATTAATTTAGATCCATTTCGTCCCACATCAGGAATGTCTCCTGTCATCCACCCAGGCAAACATCCCTCATCGCCAAGTGTGATAAATGCTGCGGGCGTTTCCCCTCCTCCCACTCTTCCTCCCTTTTTCATGCTATGCAGGTCGAATTTGCACAGAATTTGGGAGCATTTCACTAATTCATTTAAGTAGGTTGCTAATTCCTAATGAGCTCAGCACAGGAAGATACCGCGAGAAGCCTCGCTCTCCTGGGGAGATGTGTGATCCCCACACACAGGTGAGAAAACAAGGGGTTCATGTGGAGCTGACGCCCGAGAGGCTGCAAAACACGCAGGTAGAGGTGGTATTGTTTCTGCTGCAACTCCTTTCGTTTCTCCCAAAGTTTGTCCCTCACTTACAGCCCTGAGGCCGAGCAGGACAGACCTGGGACATGTGCCCAGGAGAGGTGCAGCCTCAGCCTCTCCCTAGCCCCCCCCCTTCCCATGCTGCACCCCAGCCCTGCTGATCTCTGCTGAAGTTTTATGGTTTGTGTTTTTTGTGTTTTGTGGGTTTTTTTATTGATTTCAGAGAGAGGATGGGAAAGGGAGAGAGAGATAGAAACATTGATGAGAAACACTGATCGACTGCCTCCTGCATGCCACCTACTGGGGATCGAGTCCACAACCTGGGCATGTGCACTGACGGGGACTCGAACTGGCAACCTTTTGGTGCATGAGATGACACTCAACTAACTGAGCCACACTGGCTGGGGCTTATCTGCAACTACTGAGTATGCCTTACAGGCCACTGTTCATCACTTAGGCAGCAACTGTGACCTAACCTGATCAAAATTAGGGCTTCCATTCCCATGAGGTTCACTATGAGGTTGGTATACACTGTGCCCCCTTATCCACAGTTTCACTTGCCATGGTATCAGTTACCCACAATCACCCAAGGTATGAAAATGGAAAATTCCAGAAATCAATTATTCATAAGTTTTAAATTGCACACCATTCTGTGTAGCATGGTGGCTCCGTCTCACCCAGGATATGATTCATCCCTTTGTCCAGAGTCTACATTGTACACGCTTCCTGCCTGCCAGTCTCTTAGTGGCCATCAAGGTAATCAGATCAACTGTTGCAGTATCATAATGTTTGTGTTCAAACCACCCTTATTTTACATAATGATGCCACGTTCGCACAACTTTTATTACCATGTATCGTTTTAAATGTTCTATTTTATTTTTAGTTATTATTGTTCATCTCTTACTGTGTCTAATTTATAAATTAAACTCTATCATAGGTGTNTTTAGTTATTACTGTTCATCTCTTACTGTGTCTAATTTATAAATTAAACTCTATCATAGGTGTGTATGTGTAGGAAAATCATAGTATGTATATATATATCTATATATACATATATAGATATATATATAGGATTTGGCACTATTTGAGGTTTCAGGCATCCGCTGGGGGTCTTGCAACTGATCCCCCATGGACGTGGAGAGACCTCTGTATGTCGAATTATGGAATCATTCAATGGAAACAATCTCCAGCTCCTGAGATATCAATTTAATGCAAGTAGTAACTATTTATTGTATTGACATATTTACAAAATACTACAAAGTGAAATACCACTCTAACTCATCATATTACACAAGGCTGCATACAGGCAAGACAAAGTATATGGAAAAACATTTACTTCTGTCTTTGGTATTAGAAATCTACACAAATCCGCAGCATTTAATGTTTCCAATACAAAGTATTAAACGTAGACAAAGATGGCATCAGTAACATCATGAAAAGGGGCTCTAACATTCTCTGCCAGGATCAGGTCCATGAAATGCAACAGGAAGACCAAACACCACTTGTAAGGAAGGGAGTCTAGTGGCTAAAATAACAATAAAAGAAACAATCAATACACGCTACTATACCCTACACAGGAGTGTTTCAGTTTGCATGACACTGCTCTCTCTGTAGCAACAGACAGTAACAGACAGAACATTCCCAGACTCAGCGTTGCAGATAAGACTTCAGGAGACCACCATGAGGGTACAACTTAACTGTACAGAACGTTTTATAAAATTCATTTCTGTGGTCATTTACACATATACAAAAAACAAAAACAAAAAAAACCTTAACTGGTTTTAGCAAATAACAATTTCTCTAGAACACAATCACAGTTTACATAATTCTGAGGTAAAGGTAATCCTGACTCTATCTTATTTGAGAAGGGAGGGTCTCTACAGGGGAAGGAGGCCATTGAACGTCAAGTTCTGGAATTCAAGTGGGTTGGGGAGCAGGCAGGTGACACTTCCCTCATTTCAGACATGATCCAAAATCTCAGACTGAACGCTCCTTATTTGGCTCTATTAAGTTAATGATTCTAATGTTTTGTTTTCTTCAAACATGAAACACTGTCTGAACCTTGTCTAGACATGACTTGTGCTATGGAAAAACTATTTCATCAGGAAAGGGCCAAGTTAGTGTCTTAACCTGACTGTCTTGCCCGGGCCCTCTGTGGTTCATAGGAGGAACATATCACATAAAAAAATGAAGGTTTGGTCAAATAAATCCACTGCAAAAACTGATCTTCCCACCAGTTAACACACACCTAGAAAGGGCCTGCTGATTGATGGGGAGCCCACACTGAGGGAGACCAGAAACACCTTAGTGACTCTCTGGTCCCAGAAATGCATACTGGACTCAGCTGTGCTCTCCTTCCAAAATCCTCAACAAACTTGTGTGTTTGTGCCACTGTAAATACTCCAGGAAAACGTGAAAATCAGCAACTATGTCCTAGGTCTTTTTTGGGGGGAGGAAAAGGTATGTGCTCATAGATGTTGCTTCTGTCAAATGACTTCACATAAATTATAGCCCTTAAGCTGTTTCTGCAAACAACGCGTCCTCACTCGGTTTCCTTGCAACTACCTGTCCTATACCAGCCAAGGTGATTTCAGAGTGAGACACCACATTTCCGAAACAACCCTATGAAATCACGCAGGTTGGGAGGATTTCATAGGAAGACTCTTTTTTCTTTTTATAAAGCAACTTGCAAATATGATCAGGACATCAAATGAATTACTGAATGGAAGTGTTGGCCAGGCAATGAGTCACCTTGCAAGGCCATTTAAGACGAATCATGCTGACCCTTCAGGTGGGCTGCCAAACAGCGGAGCTCTCGTTTGGCTGCCTGCTGGGAAAGGGAAAATTAAACTTCTGCTTCTTTGTACCACAGAAGAATTCTGGTGAATGGCACGTGAGAAGAAATAGGTGGTAAACATTTACTGATGGCGGAGTTCGTGATATCGGACCAGATGAAGGAAAAAGCAAGATGAACCGATGTGTTTGCTGGGCTCTTTGGAGGAGAAATGCTTCTGGCTATGCCCTGGTCCCTTACCATGACCGGCTGGTGGGCTGCTCCTTGCCCAGCTGCAGGCAAGCTGTTCACCTGTCAGTACCAGCATTTTCAGATCCCAGGATTAAGACTTAGGAGGGAGGATGTGGAATAGCCGGAAATGCAGCTTGGAAACACCTCGGGGTTCATTCACCCGCCGTGCACGCTTCAGTGTGTGTCCCATCGCTGAAGTTTCCAGTGCCAGGGGCAGCACCAGATCGGCATCTACTCATCTATTTCCACATACGTGGATGGAAACCAGCCCACCTACAGGAGAAAAGCAACCAACAGAGCAACGTGACCTTGCATCTGGCCCTTCAAAGGGTCTACAAACAGCATTTGGTTTCTAGAACACCCGGGTAAGCTGCAGTTTTATACCCAGTCGGTGGGGGTGCGGGGGACTGGGTTAGTGCCTCCTGGGGCCTTAAAAAGTGAGTGACAGCCACGGAAGAGTAAAAGAAGCTGAGACAATGTTCCCATTGGCTAGCACGCAAATGAATATGCAAATGCAGGGAACACAGGATTCTGGGATTTACTGATGCCTATCTCTGCGACAGAAGGGAGGCGAGGGCTCTGAAGACAGAGGCCTGTGCCCCTTTCCTCCCGATTGAGATCAGCCGCCCACAGACTATTCTGTTCTGCACACTGAGTTCATGCTCTGAGGCCAAGGAACTAAAAACGGAAATGTTCCTGGACCCCTGTCCAAACAAGAAGCCACCACACTTGCCCAGGTGAACCTCATTTATGCCACTGTCACATTCACTCAATGCATTTTTCCAGAGGGTCTCTCATGGGTAAGAAACACCAGCAGGGTCCGGAGCTGCAGCTCTGGGTGTGGGGTGGAGAGGTAGGGGCTGCAAGGCCATGTGGGGGGACTGCTCCCGGGCACCACCATGGGGGCCAACAGCCACTGGTCCTCCCCACTCACAGGCACAAGCACGCCCAGAGGGACCACTCACCTTGCCGTTCACTTCTCCTCTCCACCAGCCGTTGCCACTCATCTTGGTGTAAATCTTCACCACGTCTCCTTTCAGCAGGGACAGTTCCCGCATGTCCCTCGCGCAGAAGTCGTAGCGGGCGACGGCGATGCCCAGCACCTTTGGACTCAACACTGCGGAGAAATGACAGGGAGTCGCTGATTTGCTGTGTGACGACCCTGAGAGGCTAGTCGGGTGGGCGTTAGCGATGCTATCAAAATGCATGGCCGTGATTTCATACGGACTGGTGACAATGGCAGGGGGGCCAGGAAGCAAGCGGCGGGATGGCTGTTTCAATTCAGTCGGGTGGATCACGGTCCCTCCCTGACGTCTAAGGGCCACGGTTCTGTTTACACATTCTCCATAACATCAAAACGGGGACTAGTTTTTGTTAATATAAAAAAAAAAACGTTCATATCTAAGTTACTATATAAGGAGATAGATCTAAGATAATGAGCATACATTTCCTATTGATGGTACAGTAATCTATTTCTAACTAGAACCACTATGGTAAAATACTTTGTTTTTATCTGTAAACTTTTTTGACTAAGACTCCAAACAACCCAATTGCTTTGCTCAGAGAGTCTCCTATGGAACCTAGGTTATCACTTCTAGTTACACGGCACTTCCTTCCCCAGCCATCCTTTTTTATTTTTATTGAACCTATCTGGGAATAAACTCAGCTATTGTTTAATATATAATTTCACTTGTGTAAAGAAGCTTAAGTCAGGTTTCACACAAATACCATTTCTCTTTCAAACAAATCCTGCCTCCTTGCAGAAAACCTTCACTGAGGTATGGAATGAAAATTGCACCAGTGTTCGGCTCCCTATATTCAGGTTTTTTAAATGGTCGGAGCTAAGTTGCTTTTTTACGGGGAGCTCGCTTCCTCCCTGCCCTCGCCTGTCTCGAAAGGAAAACTGCACTCGAGCCATACACCTGCTGGCCCCTACTGTTCCCTGACACCTCTCTATATGAGCTTCTCTACCTGTTGTTCTTCAGGGTTATAAAGTGTTTTCAATTATATGTTCGGTGATTCTGAGAATCACTCGCCTGGGATGGAAGGAACTGATGTATAAGAAAATGAAACAAATAGGAAACGCCATCCGTCTGTGTTTTTAACGGGGCCCAGAGCCCAGGCGGCCGCAAGGACCCCCTGTGCTACTCCTGCCCGCGGGCACACAGGGGTCTCTGGCTTTGCTATGACAGACATTTTTTTTAAGTCTCCAGGTATCAATCATAAGATAACCGAATAGCAATGCTGCAGATTTCAGAACTGTAAAGGGAGTAAAAAATGGGTTACTCTATTTTACTGTCCGGACAAAACCCACTTTAATGGTTTTCTTACTGAATGCCGTCCCATTATGGGGCGCTGCCTTACTCAGGTGGGCGCACATAAAAATACCCCGGTGATGGAAAAGGCCAATTATCGACTGAACCTCGAGGCCCTGCACGGGCCTCTTAGGTTCTCGAGGCCAATTTTTCTCACCTATAAAATGCAAGGTCTGCACTCAATGACTTCTAAGGTCCTTCTAGTTCTAAACGGCTCCAATGATTCCACTGGGGCTTCGAGGTTAATTTTTTTAAAATCTGTAAGGAAACAGACTTTATCTAGCCATAATGTGCTCTCCTACAGGTCCCATAAATAACCATTCAATTCTCTAGCTAATGACAGAAACTGAGACCAAAATACCCATACACAAACGATGGGCACAGTGGTCCTTCGAAGCAACCTGAGCTGAATTTCACTCTTATATTTGCAGACCAAGTTGGGATTTGGGCTCTATTTCTTTTCTCGGTGGAAATTCCTAAACACTGGCTTTTCTCAGCTAAAATTTCTGACCCTTAAGAAAACGAATGGTTTTATAGGGTATTTCATGCCCCCCTTTATCCGCTCGACCCCCACCCCTTGCCCTCCTCTCCCGACAGGCAGAATAGAAACCGTCTCGCTGACATACTCAACGCAAGCACGTACACACAGCAGAGGAGTGAAATGTCATGACCAACAGCGGCTCGGTGACAGCGGGGAGGAAGGTGCGTGGTGCGGATGTGACTCTAGGGACTGTTTGCGAGGAGATGTATCTACGTGAGAAGCCACACGGAGAAGGCAAAATATTTCATTTGCAAACGGAAACATGTCGAAAAGACACATAAAAGCCATAAAGCAGTACCTGACCAGAAAGGAGTGGAGGAAGGGGGGACAAAGCTGTGCTCTGGAGGAGTGACAAGAGAAAACCCACAGAACAGAGAAGGGGCTTAGAGAGAGAGGGGGAGAGAGAGAGAGAACGTTTAGGTATCGGCAAAAGGACATCTCAACACAGCTACTCCGTTGTCTAGCATCGTAAGGAGCTGTCACATCGAAATTGGGATTCCAAGCTTCCCTTTTGTCACTTTGCTCCTTTACATTGTTTCTAAATGAGAAGCTGGACTTTTACACTCTGACCGACGTTCGTTCGCAAATTCAAGAAAACCACTCATAGGTCCCGATTTGCTAGGCCCCCCCCCCCC